ATATACACACATATATACACATACATATATATATACACACATATATATATACACACATATATACACATATATACACATATATACACACATATATATATACACATACTGTATATACACATACATATATACACACACATATACACATACATATATACACACACATATACACATATATATACACACATACATATATATACACACACATACATATATATACACACATATACACATATATATACACACACATATATACACACACACATATACACGTATATATACACACATATACACATACACACATACACACACACATACACACACACACATATACACATATATACACACATATACACACACACATATACACATATATACACACACACATACACATATACACACACACACATATACACACGACGACTGATCTCAATGTATGTTTCAGAAGCTCAGAGCTGCTGAGAAAGGCAGCTTCTTGATTCTCAGCTGATGACTTCAGACATGTTGTTCCTGTCCCTGTGGTCTCTTGTCGTACATGGAGTGTGGCTGTGGAAAGCCACTGTAGAACTGTTACACTTCCACCTCCACTTCTTCCATGCATGTGTATGGACACACATAGCTCTAGGCTTAGCGGGCCAATGCTTTCATCTCATCTATCTTCAGGCCCTTCCACTTCCCATTAAGGAGGGGCGGTGGTGGAGGGCTGATTTGAGAGCTCATGCTTTTCATGGCTTCTTTCCTTTCAAAACAAAAGATTATTCAATTAATGTGTGTTCTACACATTTTCCCCTTTGCTGACCCCGGGAGAGGAGTGGAGATCAAAGACAGCTTTTTCTTTTATAGGACAGTGGAGCTGAAGTCGGACGCAGACCGACCCGCGGGTTTTAGTGAAGGGTTACTTACAGGCCGTAAGCCTGTAGAAGGAGAGGGGCAGAGATCTAAGCATTCCACTTCAGGGGGACAAAGTGGCTGCTGCAAATCTCATCAAGCACTGCTTTCTCTTTTTACAAGTGGAGGCACTGATGGTGTGCGGAGGCGCTACATGGTTACAAAGGCGTAGTATGTAGCAGTCGTAACATTTACCTAATACACTCATATGCTTTGTGCTGTGTCAGACCAATCTTCTGGTATCGGTACAGTTCTTACTTACGCTAGAACAATCTTAAATAGATTGCAAAGCCTGGTGTCAATACATAACGAATTCCTTGAGAGTAATTTACTGTGACTTTGGTGAATCTGAACGAACCTTTTAAAACACCAAAGTCACAAAAACACACCGAACAAGGCAGCGGTAGGCCAGCGACTTCTGTGTTCTGGGAGATAAAATGACTGGTTTTGTCACAGGAGGCCTGTGGCTTTAAAGAGAGCACATTAAAAAGCTTCAGTTCCTCATTGGAAAAGGCAGGTTTGACAGCAAGGTGAAGTGGTGAAAGTATTCTAAAGATAGCGTACACTTACACTCATATCAATTCATTTTTAGGTGTATAAAATAAGTCGTCAGCAGGACATTGCTTTGCTCCTGCACTGGTACTGCTGTCTGTTTCTACAAACTCCATCTACTGTACACAGTACTTCATACAAGCCCACTTCAAAAGAAACTGTACTGTCCCTTTAATAGAAGTATTTCATGTCGCAGCTTATGAGAGAAGACCTCAAGATGTGGATTCTTTTTACTCCTCGGACTAACCGTATCCTGGGAAAATTGAAAAATATTAAAATGCAGTGAGCCGTGGTTTATGCTAAATTGTAATATGCGCTCAGGTATTATATCTGTCCCACTTGTTGAGCTATTTGTTGCATTGTTTGTCTATTTCTATTTTTGGCTTTGAGTTTCTTGGGGGTTGGTGTTATGGTGTGTATACTACTACAGGACGAACAGATTCTGTTTTGATGAAGGTAGTGTGGATAGTCATTTCGTGAAATGACGACAGTACACACATCATCGATTGGTGAAGAAATTGAGCATTTCCGATTATTTTAAAGAGCGATTCATCCTTGTGTTCGATTGAAGCAAAACCACTGTAAATCTTTCTGCTGTCAGTGCCCTCTGAAGAAACATTTGTGTCGTTCTGATTCTTACCATCGGACCAGCAGGCCGTGCTCCAGAAAGTTCTTCAGGTTGGGTAGTGTCTGCTGCAGGTCTGGGGTGGTCAAGCCGTGTTGATATCTCAGCTGCAAGACAAGGGAACACACACCGCGTCATTAACCTCAAACAACCTACCACGTCGTGCATCCTTCAACCTTATACATATAATGTGCGGCGGGCTGGCGCTACAGCGAATCACTCTCACACGTGTGCACATTCTCCGTGTTTGGGTGTCGTTCGGAGAAGAAAGAAATACCACCTACAGGAGGTCTGAAGCAGACATTCTTTCGCCATGACACATTTCTACACTCCCCCTCATCGGTCCATTACTCATCTGGACACAATGGGCATCCTTCCCTGATAACAGGCATGCACGCTAATACGTAAGGTGTGTGTGGAAAGACAGGGGATGAGATGCGGGTGGCTAGGGAAAAAAAAAAAAAAAAAACTTGCTGTCAAGACATCTGGAAGAAATGGCGCAGAGAGAGAGAGAGAGAGAGAGAGAGAGAGAGAGAGAGAGAGAGAGATCGAGATCGAGCGAGAGCACATTAGAAACCCTGGTAGATTCTCCCTCACTCTTCTGTGTATCCACATCTAAATGTGGCCTTGAATGTCCCCTCCCTTGTACCACAGTGCTTTATTTCATGATAGAATCAAATCCAGCAAAGAAATTTAAAAAAGGAGAAAAATCAAAAGGCCACCTTGAAACTCCAGCTGTCTGTGCCAGAAATATCTCCTCCAACAGTTGAGTGATGTCACAGCGAGCCAGCTCTTGTCCGGCGGAGTTTATTTAACAGATATTACTGAACAGCAGAGAAGCATCACGCCGCACGTCCGGCGTATATCTCTGAGGCCTCTGTGTCTCTCTCTGACAACACTGACACACTCACACGCACATGCACGCACACACTGATGAAGAGATGCCGCGCACATGACACCGAAACATCACTCACTGGGGATAACGGCTTCTTCGTGTACGAGCTCATAACGGATGAGTGACATGATAATAAAGGAACTACAGGGAAAAATATCTTTGAGCCTCCGAGGGGCAAAGGTCACGTTTCCCTGTTTTTTGTTGAACAGTTTAGGAGGAGACAAACTGTTTTCAGGGTATCAGCAGCCCCCAAAGCACATCAATACCCGTTTCCTTGTGGTAATTGCCGTAATATTTATTTAGAGTCCTGCTGTACTGGCTCTGGTAAGGCTTGACAAATGGCGAGAGGTGTGGCATAGGAAGGAGCACTCAGAGGCCACATGTGCATGCATGTCAAATTTGCACTCAACATAGATTAACCAAATCCCACTCTGTCTGAATAGCTGCCAGAATAACGTGTAAACTGTACGATATGAACGGTGCGGTGTGAATGACATGCACTGCAATGTCATTATGCAGCACAGGGATGCACAACAAAATGCAGTTGTAGCCCATTTTCAGCGCAAGAAAAGCATGACAAAACAAAAACAGAAGTGCATTCCTGTAGTGCATCAAGAGGAATGTAAACAAGCATCATTGATGTAAACACAGAGTCCACCTCCTCTCGTCCCACCGGAGTCCAGCGGTTCGCCCATCAAGTGCAGCTTGATCCGGGATGCCACGATGGAGTCAGGTCTCTGTGAAGACGTGGACTCAACAGTCACCGACCTCCCGCTGCTTGGTCTTATTTCATCCATCTTATTTTCCTGCGACCGGGCTTCAGACAGCCAGGAGCAGGCTGGGTAGTGGAGTAGCCTCAGGTCCTAGCTGGGTTAGCTTAGCTTCCATCTCGGCTCTTCTCCCTCTCCTCGGGGGTGTTTGGTCCGGCAGGTCTGGCTAGGGGTTTGGCCGTGGGCGGTGATCGTCTTAAGGGCCACTGCACCTTTTCCGATGTTGAGTGTATTCTGTCATATGCCGTAAGTGCTCCAGTGATAATAATAATTTTGACATGTGCCAAAGTGTTTTTATCAATGTTCCAGTGTGTGTGTGTGTGTGTGTGTGTGTGTGTGTTCTGGTCTCAAATGGACAGTCATCGGAGGAGGACTTTATCAAAAGAAGCTCAGTGGGACAAGGGGTGTCACCACAAAAAACCCAGATGGTGATTGGACGGTCCAAAACCTGTGCGAACAACACAAGAGGTCCATTCATGGCTCGGAGTAAACCTCGGGGTCTGACCAAATGACAGCGCTGCGCTGTCCACAGGGCTAGCTCAACGGAATTGGGTTTGAAGCGTTGGGCCAAGATCAATAACACCACCAGTTTAGAAACAGAAAGAGAGTAGCAACATTGGGCTGGGGGGTGGGCTTGCTTGTTCTGTGGCCAGATGCAAAAAAAAAAAGAGGAAAATCCCAATCTCATGCATATCTCAAGGTCACGGTCTAGAAAGTATGAATCAGAAATCGGGAACCAGATATGAGCAAAACATAAATATTATGGCTTCAGCGAAGGTAAACTGCGTTCGCTGGACATGCTGTATGCTTTCTTTGTTTCTCAGTCGGAAGCCGTAACAAAATGCTATCTATAAATTCCATTACTCGCCTTGAGCCCTGAAGTGTGTGTAATAGCCACACTGTGTGTCTGACAGGAGACCCTATGTCACATTACACGGCTGTATGTCTGAGAGAGAGAGTGTGTGGGGGAGAGAGAGAGAGTGAGAGAAAGAGAGAGAGTGTGCATTTGTATGTGTGCCTCCTATTGTTTTCCTCACGTGAAGAGACGTTGCCGAGCTCGCAGCATATACAGATACTGGATATGGGTGAAGACAGGAGAGTGATGGGTGACATCATTTGACTTCATTACTATGGAGCTCGCTGAGGGGGATTAAAAAAAATGATGTATGCCTCCGTCAGGCCGACGCAGAATAACTGGAAACTCACGCGCGTTTGCCAAATCTCTGCCAGTGGGCACCAACGACACCTGAGCTAAGTGTCTGGTTGGCAGCGGTGCAGAGCCGCCTGCACCGGGTGTCTTTGCGATGAGTTGTGTTAAACACGTTCAGACAGTTTGGAGTAGTGCAGCCCTATAGCTGACCCAGCGCTCAGCCAGCCAGACTCCATCAATATTCATAAACTGGGCGGTCTGGCCCTCCCTGGTGGAAGCTGCGTTACGTTTCCCCCCCAGAGCGGCCTTTCGTGTTTCTATGTGTATATTTATATGTTGCTCATGGCCTTCGTCTTGGGAAGGCATATATCCTGGACGCTGCAAACATCAACCCCCTCCCTTCGTCTCACAGCAGAACAAAAAAGCAGAAAAACATTAGTGACCCGGCCATGTCATCTGAGGGAAAAGAGAGGAAACGTGTGAGGCGGCTTAAAGACATACGAGCTGGTTGTCATTTCTAATTGTCGGCGCCACAGAGGTTTTGACTGTAGGGCTGAAACAAACAGCTGAGTGGGGAAAAGGTGTAGATTCTGGTTCTGTACACCCAAAGTGGCCTTTGACAGTGTGTTGTAACTGATATGAGGCAATGTGTTGTAATTCATATGAGGTGAAACACAACTAATTGATTCCTGTTGCAGAATAGATTTGTGATTGATGTCCTGGTCAAATTGATCCATAAGCGTATAAATATATAACCATTTTATTTTTCTTAATTTCTCATGCAGATTACTCTCTAATTATTAGAGTCTAATAGACCATCCGCTAAGCCCCGCCCCTCGCTGCTAGTCCATCAAGCTGTCAGAGCTACCTCGGAGCCCACACTGTCACTAACTGCACTCCCTGAATAAACACTTTCTAATTTTTGGAATAAAGCCATTTCAAAGAGAAGCAGCCAGAAGGATCTACAATATGTGATGGAAGGGTTACCTCGTGGCAAAGTATCATGGGAGTAAAATAAAAAACGTGAGCCTACCATAGCTTTAAAATGGTTTTCCATATGTTGTCATGTATGTAAAGAACCAAAATGTACTTGTATAAGTATATTATTTAAACATTATTTGTATAGGAATTGTTCTGTCTCAAGCTTTTTGATCCATATAAGCGCTTGATCACTGTATCCGTGATCACTGTAAGTGGTTTACGCTGTAATTTCTGAGCCCGCGACCCAGTGAAGTGAGAATTCTTATGCAAACACGGCAACGAGAAACAACCTCTGAGGGTTCCTAATTCAACAGCTCCAGACCAGATCACACAAATGGCTCAGAATCAGTCCACCTGAGACAGCTTGTCATTCCTCGTTTCCCTTTCATACATCACCGTGATGAATGCTGGCGGAGTCCCTTGCGTGCTCGTGCTTATGTGTACAGGAACAGTGCTTTCAAGCTGCTGGCCACGGGCTTCTTTGTGATGGGGATAACCAGATCGTGGTGAGAAATTCCCAGGGCCCATTGAGGGAGGCTGAAAGGTGAGAGGAGTTGGAAGACGGGGGGAGGGGGGCCCTTTCACATGATGACATAGTGAAACAGATCCGGCCAGGTCTCCCCCTGTCGCTGCTCACACCTTTGTGTCTGGACACTCCCTTCCCTGTTTTGCTATTCTACAAAAGCCACGCAGGGCTGTGGGGATTCCTCAGCGTGTGTAGCAATCAGCGGGTATGACTGAAAGGTTTGGTATGAGCCTGTGCGAGAGTCCAGAGGATGAGCGACTCATCATCCTCATTCGTCTCAAGGATAAAGTATCAGCCCAAAGAATGCAGCAGTGTATACAGTCCCGGTCTGCCAATCCACCGGAGTAAACACGCTGAAGCTGACTAGAGCCGGTGGGAAACCAGTCCGTTTACAGAAAATGCCACCCATCATTTGGTAACAAACCTGCTCGTTTTCCCCGAGCTCTGTGCAGAGGCTAAACAAACACAGCCCGGCTGATGCCACGTATCTCTGTTTCCCCGGGTTTGTCAGTGCTAATCACCCTCACATCAGGCCGGCGAGTGTGGGCGGGCTGCAGAGAACTTTGAGGTTGATTGGCGATGACGCGGTGTAGGAAGAAGTGCCCAGGTAAAAAAAAAAAAATCCACTTGTCAGCGGCGGACATCCCAACGGTTCCCCCGGTGCGCGTCATTAGCATCGTTTGACAGGCGGTCTTCCACCGTCGCTGGAGGAAAGCCTGTCTGGGACGCAGGGCGTTTTCATCAGGAGCGTTGCGTTTCATGTGTCAAGAGGGTTAAAAGTCTCA